GATCCTGTCCTCCCAGGTCTCCAGATCCACCTACCTAAACACTTTGCCAGCCTCCATGTGCCAGGCAGTGTGGGGGAGCCTCCAGTGGCTCACACTGCAGCCCTTGGAGGAGGCCAGGATGAGAAATCCCATCTCCTCATGACATCAGCTCTCCAGAGATCCCAGATGTGTCTGTGTGGAGCATCCCCACGGCTCGGGGAACGGCGTCTGTGGCTGTCCCAGAGCTCATGGAGCACCTTTCCCAGGATGAGTGCTCCTGCTTTTTGCTGCAGAGGGGTTGTTTATGTAGGATGCTCGGTGGGTGGGATGTGGTTTTGTCACCAGTCCATTGTTGGACTCTGTTTGGGCACTCTGCCCGAGGATGATTAATGATGTTTTGAGTTGAGGCTCTGAGGTGCTTGCAGGCGTACTGCAGGTACCAGAAGTAAAAGAGGTGTTGTTATCATCAAGGTACTTCAGTGTTATATCAAGTGTAATCAGAAGTGAATTAATTAAAGCAGTGTGTACATCTAAGTCCTTTTATGGTGGATGTTCAAACAACTCATTTTGTGTAGTTTAGAGCTCAGTGTTTCAGACTTTTGTAACCCTCTTCTCTCTGTGAGAAAGCAGCAAATGCCAGGACTAATATCAGAGGACAAACCTCTCCTGCAAAGGTCTTTTTGTCAAACACGGCTCTTAAAACAAGTTAGGAAATTGTGTGCATTTATCTCTGGCATCTTTCAGGGTTAATTTGTACAGCTCTCACATCTAGTGTAGGGTGGGATCCAATGGTTGCTTGGGTTTCATCTGACCTTGGAGTGAGCAAAAATCTGTAGAAAATTCCTATTTATTGTTGGTCTCAGCTCTACCAGGATTAAACTTCATTTTTGCAGCACGACATACCCTTGACGTGGTTGCTGCTTAGAAAAATTGCCTGGAAATACATCTGGCTCTTCTGTGCAACACCTCAGGCATTGTGAGGCTGGTGGTGCTTCACCCCACGGAGAGGAGACACAAATTTGGATGGAGGTGGGGGAGGCTGACAGAATTGCAAGGTGACCAGGGATACAGATCCTAAGCTGCAGCTTCAGTCTGACAGCAGAGCCAAAACCCTTTTTGGTGAGCTTGGCAGCAGTGGGGGCTGAGCTGGGGGTGTTGCCAGTCCAGCTGTGGAGGAGATCACAGCTGGCAGGGCTGTTCCATGGGTGAGGAGCTGAGACTGCAGCTTCAGCTCAGCCTGCTCAGGGTGATGGGTGACTTGGGTGACCTGGGTCCGTGTTTTGGCTCTGACAGAAGCTCTACTGGCCCCACCTGTGTGGAGGAAGCTGGAGAGATGGGAATTGATGGAAACATAATGAATTAGACCTGGACCCTGCTTGGTGCACATCTGAAGCTGTTTGCCCAGCACAGTGTGCTATTTTGATAAGTGTGAAGCTAGTGACTTTGTTTTTCCAGCATGCTGGAAAAAGTATCAAACAAGGAGGAGATTAAAATGACCCCAAATGCTCAGAGAACTACAAAAGGGGGCAATCAAATCAGTCCTCCGATATTTTTGAACTAAACTCATGATTTTCTGAGCTGCAACTCTGTGATTTGGACAGGGCAGAGATGGGAAATGGGTCAACAGCTGAATATGTACCTAAATGTAAAACTTTGACATAGTCCAGTTTTAGCACTCCATGTGCTGCTCTGGTCTCTCAAGCTACTTTAGTTTACTGCTGGAGAAGGTTGAAAGGTGATTCAGTCATAGTTTACAAGTACCTAAAAAGGGAAGGGGTTTCTGGTTGCTAGATGGGATTCAAATTTACCAGAGAAAGGCAGAGATCTCCTGGCTGGAAGCCAAAGTTAGAGAAGTTCAGACTGTGAATAAGAGCTGCAGTTTAAAGTTTTTACGAGTAAAAACCAGAGGAAAGTCTTTGTCTGGAATTAAGCAGAGTCATTGGCAGTGAATGGCTCTAAATGAAGATTTCTGTGTTTTTCTGAAAGCTGCAGGAATTATGAAGTGAGGCTTTCCAGCCCAGAGCAAGGCTGTGGATGCTGTTTCCCAGGCTTGGGGCTCTGCCTGCTCTTCCCACACTGCTGTCCAAGCACAAGCCCTGCTGCAGTGCAGCAGAAAGGGCACAGATGTGTCAGGGAGCACAGCTCTGCCTCTTGGTGCTCAGCCCTTTTCCCAGACACAGTCCAGAACATTTGGGGATTGGATTCCCCTTTCACTGCTCAGTCTGATTCAGCTGGGGAGCTGCAGTCCATGGAGTCCATGAAGTGTGGCCTGGAGCTGAATACACTCTCTCTTTCCCTCCTGTAGTGAGACACCAAAAACATGTAGACTGGGGTGGACAGATGTTCTCCTCCCTTTTTCTGGGCAGGACTCTCTGCTGGAGGGGTGGGATGCCGTGTGTGTGTGTCAACTCTGGTTTTTTTGGATCTGCCCACTTAGGAATGTCCTGTAATCATCACTCTGCATGTGCAGAGTTTTAGGTGAGACGTGATTCATATTGGTGGGGAGATGATGGAAAATTCCTTGCTTGTTCTTGGCCCTCTTCTTCCACAGGCTTCAGGTTTGTGGGGTTTGCTCTGCTTTTGCCAGAATTTCGGTGGAGAGGGGCAGGGCTGACACCCCTTTCTGCCAGCAGTTTGCAGTTTCTCTTACATAGAACTAAGGGAAGCAGTCCCATAGAAGGAAGATGAGAAGAGAATATTCTTTCACCCCCAAGACTCAGTTATATCAGTTTTGAACCCGGTAGAACTTCTTTACATCTTACTACTGGTTCTGATATTATAAAATATCAGAATTCTTCACACCTGTGGCTTCTCTGAAATGGGACAAGAGTTGTCCCTTCAGTGACTGGTATCTCTGTCTAAATTAGCCCAGATTATGTCCATATGCTGCCTGCTTCTTAATTCTGCAGACCACCAGGCTGGAAATAAAATGAGGCAGATGCAGCCATGCCAAGGTCAGGACCTTCCCTGTATTTAAGGTGTATGGATAATGCTGGCATGGGACAGAGTGACCTCGGGGTACAATAGGAGCTAACTGACACACACATTCAGGCAGAATAAATATTTGAGAGTCTATTTCTCTATTCCCCAAAATGACCCCTATAAAAGCAAGGTCCTGTTTACCTTCCTGGCCCTCTGTGCACTGTTCTGAGAAGAGACCAGCTCTCTTCTCCCTTCGCTGCCTTCCAGCTCTTCTGGGCAACCCATTTCCAGGCAAGGATCAGGGGTATGGGCTTCACAAAACCCATGGCATGTGCATTGCAGCACGACATTTGGACTTTCACAGAAAATTTGGTGAAAGCTGAGATAATTTCTGGTCAGAAATCTCTGTTTGTGCCAAAGCACAGTGACCTGGGAAGCAGTGAGAGATGTCAGTGCACAGCCTTCAACAACTGGCTGCAGCTGACCCAATGTGTCCATGCTGCCCCTGTCCCATTAGAATCATGGAATGGTTTGGGTTGAATAAACCTTAAAATAACCTTAAAACTCATTCCAACCCCCTTCCACTATCCCAGGTTGCTCCAAGCCCTGTCCAGCCTGGCCTTGGGCACTTCCAGGGATCCAGGGGCAGCCACAGCTGCTCTGGGCAGCAGCCTCAAGGTCTGATGTGCCTGGGACCAGCCCTGGGCTTGCCTTTCAGTCACTGAGCTTTGGCTAATTCCTGTTGTCCTGAACTGTTCCATTTCTATCCATGCTGGGATCCTTTTGATTAAGGACAGTTTAGCTTCTCACTCCCATGAGGAATATGAGAGTCCTGAGAGCTTCCTACCACAGGAGCACATTCCTCATGATTGCTGTGCTTTTTATTATTTTATGTAAAATCCCTTCTGGTGAGAACAGTCTTTAAATACTATCAACCTACACTAACTTAGCTTGGCATGAAGAACTAGAGGAGACATACAAAGGTCTGTAAAACAGTGATTGCTCTGATGAAACCCATCCAGTCCCCCTGCCTTTGAGTGCTCTGCCATTTCACAAGATCAGAATGCACAAAGCAATTAGAAGGTGGTTTGTGTATATTAGAAAGAGGAAATTCTCTATCTGTAGCACATCTCAGACAAGGGGAAACCATTGGCACCAGTATTCTTAAGGCAAAATCAGCCAGTTGCTGTTTCCTTTTTTAAGGTTAAGGCTGAGAAAGAAAAAGGGAGCTAGAAGAGTGCAGAGCTGTCAGTTGAAAGAAAAATTGCGAGCCTGCTAATCCTTTCTTGTCAGGTTTAATATAAAGCCTGGCAGAGATTGATAAGAAGTGTCTCCCTATCTGTCTGATGTTCCAGGTGCATGGTAAAAATCACCTCTCTGAAACACCCACATGCAGAGCCAGGCTCCAGGCTGGAAAGGCTGCTGGCCAGCCTGACACTGCTGGCATAAAAACATTTAAAATACCTATTCTTTCATTTTTCTTCTTGCAGCCTGAAGAATGGCTGTCCCTCCCCTTCTCACTCCTCACACATGCAGGCTGTTCTTGCAGCCCCTCTCAGTGCTCTGCTGATGTGCTAAACAAAGTTTTTGCAGCAGGGACAGAGCATCTGGGGCACAGGGCACTGCTCCCTGTGACCTGCCTCTGCTCCATCTGCAGTAAAACATCCCGGCTGGGGCTGTGGGACTGGCAGCACACCCATGGAAGCCACAGAGGTCGTGTAGGTGTTGGTAATCTGCAGCAGCAATGGCAAGGAGCAGGGGACAAATAATCTCTGAAGAGCTTGAGCTCGAGCGAGGTGGGAGCTCAGCAAACCTCTGCAGGGACAGGAGACACAGAGCTGCGAGGGTAGGGCTGCTGTGGAACCACCAAACCTGGTCATGTGGGGCCTCCAGAGCTGGGGGCTCCCTCTGTTCCCCATGTGGGTGTTTCTGACTCCGTGCTCCTTCCCTGTGTGCTGGTTTCCCTGGACAGCCCCTCTCCCTCATCCCAGGGCAGGGGGCAGCAGGAGCTTTGCCCAGGGGAGGGGCTCGGGGGGCTGCTGTGGGTGCACAGCTCTGAGAGGGGCAGCTTTCACAGTGTCCCCTTTCTCTTTCCATAGCTGTTCCTCCCAAACTGAAGAAACTGAAAAGCCCAAATGTTCATGTGGGTGAGAAGATCTCCCTGAAATGTGAGGCGACTGCTGGAAACCCTCAGCCATCCTACAAATGGTTTAAAGATGGGAAAGAGCTGAAGAAGAGCAAAGACATCCGGATCAAGTATGGGAATGGGAAGTAAGTATGACACAGGGCTGCTCTGCCTCTGCTCACTCAGGGTCTGGGACCATCTGGCTGGAGGTGCTGCTGTGCTCCCCAAATCACTGCTGAGCAGCACTGAGGGGCTCCCTCAGAGCCACAGGACCGGGCTCAGCCCCGGTACCACACCTGGGAGAGCGAGCAAGAACCCCAGGGTCCTCAGAGAGCAGTGGGGAGAGGAGCAGGGCATGCACAGGGAAGATGCTGGGTTTGTAGAGGGGCTGTCCTGGGGTCAGGGAGGCACTGGATACCTGAGACAGGTGTCCTGGGATGTGGGCAGAAGGGTTTCCCTGGTAGCTCAGGGCAGCTCAGGTTGCCTGGGGTGGCTCCTGCTCTGTGTTTAAGGGTTGGATGCAGAAGGTACCCAAACCCAGCTGTCACCCCAGCGCTCAGCAGCAGGGCTGTGGGAAGAATTGGTTTGTTCCCTCTTGAGTTTAGATGGACACAGAAGCATCTAAGGGCACTGAAAAATCACAGAATGATCAATTAGGGCTGGGAGGGACCTCTGGAGATCATCCAGTCCAACCCCCCTGCCAAGGCAGGGTCACCTGGAACAGGTGACACAGGAAAGTGTCTGGGTGGCATTGGAATATCTCCAGAGAGGGAGACTCCACACCCTCCCTGGACAGCTATTGCAGTGTTCTGCCATCCTCAGTGTAAAGAAGTTCTTCCTCATATTGAGATGGAACTTTTCATGGTTTACATAGTGGCCCTTGCTCCTGGTCCTGTCAGTGGGCACCACTGAAAAGAGTCTGACACCACCCTTTGACATCCCTTGGAGATATTTACGTGCATTAATGAGATCCCAAATCCATCTTCTCTCCTCCACATTGGGCAGGGCTGAGATGCAAGAGTACCTCACAACACTGATCAGGGGTCATGGTCACCTGTAGAGACCTTGTCTTGTGCAAATCCTTTCATCTGTCCACCCAGGGCAAAAAATCTGCCCCAAGGTCCCCACCCAGCAAAGCTCTCAGGTGGCTCTCAGGTCACCCTCAGGTGCTGAAACACCTGGAGAAAGAGGCCCCAGTGACCAAGCTCAGGCATTCTCACTGGGAACGGGTTTAAATGAATCCATGTTGATATTTCTCAAGGCCCAATATCTACAATAGGATGTATCTTAAAATTATTCCATAGTCACAACAGTGCTTGCATTCATACATTCCAACCTAGCCAGCAACAGTCAGCTTGCAACTGCCTGACCCCTTGGAAAATTTGATCCTAATTCTTTGCTAACTTATGTTCTGGGTGTGTGAATAAAAGCTCATTATGGACTAGATAAAGTAGCAATTTTAAAAATTAAAAGCCACTACAAGTCAGTTAAAAAAATCAGTCAGTGCTTGAACGGGGCGTTGCCAATAGCTCTAATTTAATTTCAGTCCTGTTGGGTTTGGTTTCAGAGTCACACCCCAGATGATTGACCTCCTTTGTGATAATTCTAGGACTTGTGGCTGTTTTGGGATGAGGCAGAGAGGTGGGCAGTGGGTGCAGGATAACTGGGTGCTGTCTGCTCAGGAAGGGCTCTCTGGGCAGAGCTGTGCCTGCCTCACTCTGCTGCCCTCGTTGTTTTTTGTGGCCCTGGGCACTCGTGTGGCCTTGGTTGTTCAGCAGTGGCTGCTGGGGCTGGGGTGCCCTGGGGCAATCCCTGCAGCAGCCAGGCGTGGGAATGCTGCCTGTCCAGCCCTGCACGCTGACGGGGTGCTGGGCAGCAATTGCCCTGAGAGCTGGAGAGCAGCCAGCCCCTGCCCAGACACCCAGCTGGGTGGAGGGATCCTCCCACAGTGCTCCCCAGTCCTTCCTCGCCTCCTGGCAGCCTGTGTCCAGCACGAAGTGGCAGGATGACATCCCACCCCCAGTGATGCAGGGGGGACACGCGGGCTCCGGGCCAGGGACAGAAGCGAGTGGAAGACAGCTGGTCCCCTTTCCTCAGGACACTGCTGTCAAGTCACAATTTTCCATTTACCAGTTTCCATGGCAACAGGAGTTTGCCTCTCCAGTGAGAGGCCAAAGATGTGTGGTGCTGGAAGGGCTTCCTGCTGGCAAAATAAGACCAAGGATAAACATTTTAAGGAAAGCTGCCTCCTCCAGTGTCCGAGACTCCCTCAGCAGCAAAGGTGTGAGCCCAAAGCATCCCCAAAATCACTTCCCATCCCAGCTTCTGCTCCCTGCTGCTATTAAAATGTGCCCTTCTTGTGCTGGGACCAGGCTATGGAGACTGGACTCAAGCAGCTGCTGAGCAGGAACAAAAGGAAATGTCCTCAAGCTGTGCCAAGGAGGGTTTGGATATTAGAGAAAACATCTTCACTGAAATAGTGGTCAGGCATCGGGACAGGCTGCCCAGGGAAGTGGTGGAAGCATTCAAAAAATGTGTAGATGTGTCACTTAGGGACACTTGGGGACACATCTCGTTTGTGGCCTTGGTTTATTGGTGGCCTTGGCAGTGCTGGGGGAATGGTTGGACTCGGTGATCTCAGAGAGCTTCTCCAACCAAAATGATTCTGTCATTCTGTGGGACAGTTGTGAGATAATTACCCCTCAGGGAGCATTTGCCCCTTGTTTAGCAGTGCAGGAACACTTTCCTGTGCACACCCACCCTGGCATTCCCATCTCTGTCCCCTGCACCGGGTTTGCTGGGCCCCAGAGCTGAAAACCTCGAGGCAGAGTGTCCACTGGCATTGGACCTGCCTCCCTCTGGTCTTGACTGCATGGAACAAACACCAAAAACTGCTCAGAGCAGGCTGAGGGTTGAGGGAGCCCTCATGACTTTGATGTCTTCATTATGCAGCTGGTGGGGCCAAGTTGAGTGGAAGGACATGTGATATGGGTGTAGGCCATCACTGCCAGCGTGTTGGGAGGGCACTCCAGGGAAGGATAAGAATCCCAAACTGTAAATCTCTGAAAGGGGATCCTATTCTATAATGATTATTTTAACAATAATGGGATTTATACATCTGGCTCCATTTAGAGATAACACTGGTCTCCAGATAATCCTCTGCGCTTCCTTTCAGCTCCGAGTGGGGATTTCAGAGGGCCAGAAATGGAGCTCTGGGGAGGGACCTTCACAGGGAAACTACACCAGGCAAAACCTCCTCAGACTGTGCAGGACCTGCCCAGGTGCACAGGATCATTCCTTTAGAAGTGTAATCCAAAGAGCTGAGAGAGTTTTCTGCTGGAGCCAGGCAAAAGGAGCCCTCCAGCAAAGTGATGTCCACAGTGTTCCCCTTGGCCCCGTGAGGCCCTGGTAGGGCTGGGCACAGCTGAAATCTGTCTCCAGCTCTGAGATCTTTAGCATGCAGAGGGTTAGGATGGGTGAAAGAACATGGTTGCCCTCTGTGATTCATTCCTGGCTTTCCTCCCCGTGTGTTTAAAGAACCTTGAGGTTTCTAACTAGAAAGTATGACTGAAGCACTTTTTTTTTTGTGATCAGGTTTTCCTCTGATCTCTAGAACAGGGGATCTCTTTCAAGATAAGGGATGTATATGTTGTAAGGAGGAGAGAGCACTTAGCTGCATGTCAGCTCTTCAGCTTTTCTATCAATCATTTTCCCTCTTCTTTTTAAACTTATCGGCAAAACTTCTGGTGCCATCAGGCAAAGGAGTCAGGTTTTTTTCAATGGATATTTGCTGGAGGGAGGGGAACAATTCTGATTCCTCCTTTCTGAACTTCATGTTCCATCTGTAATTAGTGGCAAGCTGGGGCAAGCCTGGCTTGCACGAAGGGGAAAGATCTTTAAGGTGGAAGAAATTATTGGCTGGAATTTTATCTCTGTCTCCATTTAAATAAAACACAGTTGATAGGGAACCCAGAGAAATTACCCAGAAAGAATTGCCTGTGGTAGAGGAAGTGCACCTAGTGAATGGCTCTCCCCACAAGCTGCCAAAGCGATGCCATTTTTGGCTGAGTGTGTCTGAGGCTGGTGGCTCCCAAGAAGTTCAGGCTGGGTTTTGACTTTCTGACTATCCTGGCAAATGGTCAAATGCCAGCTGTGGAGGAAGCAGAGGGAATTTTTGATTGTGGAGGTGTAGAGAACCTTCCCCTCTTGAAGTCATGCTCGAGGCTCAGCCTGGGACGTGCAGATGTTCTGCTGGAGCCCAGGAGCCTGGTAGTCCCCGAGCTGTGCCTGTCCTTACAGCCCTTTCCCTTTGTGTGCTCTTCTACCAAGGGACACCGCTGGGGTGATGAAGTAGGCGTATCATTAGATTGGAGAGGGCTGGCAGTTCAGTTTGGGACAGGCTGACCATATGACATCCCTTGGGAGTAGTGTCCTACTTTCAGTATCACCAGGAATCCCTATTGTTAGCCTGTAAGTGGAGCCAAGGGATGCCCTCCTCTCCTGTTTCTGTACAGTAGTCCCTCAGGCGATGCCACTTGAGCAGATTCATTGCTGGGGTCTTCCTTGTAGGGCTCCCAGTTGTAGATTATTCCCCACCCACAATGAATGGGGCTGTGGTCTTCCCTGTACAGCTCACTGCACTGGAATGAAGGCAAAAAAAATAAAAAAAAACCAGTAATGCCAAAGCAGCAGGGGAAAGAGAGTGCCAATAAAGATAAATGATTTCCTAATTAAGCCTGGAGACAAGGAGGGGCAAAGAGGACTGTTGAAGCCTTGTGGGAGCCAGAGTGAACCCAAGCAGGCTATACCACCACTCTGGCAGGGGTCTTTGGGCTGACATTTTTAAACAAAGGAAAAAGCTCATTTGACAATGGATCTTGCAAGAGCAATTCCAGATGCCTTGAAGCGAAGACTCTTCTCAAGCACCGGTGTTGTTATAATCACCAGGGGAGCTGCTGCCTTGCTAACTCTCACGATGTCATTATAAGTCTTCGATATTTGGGATTTGGTTTTAGCTGCTGAAGGCGCTTTATTGGAGGGGGGTGTGAAGGAGAGCATCTCCTTTGTTTGTTTGCTTGTTGTTTTAGAGGAGATGATGGACATCATCTTGGCCAATGCACCTGGGACTGAACCAGGGAATTTGAGA